GAGCCGCCAGTGACGGCCCAGGCGTGAGTGCGGCCAGGCCGAGCCGCCAGTGACGGCCCAGGCGTGGGTGCGGCCAGGCCGAGCCGCCAGTGACGGCCCAGGCGTGGGTGCGGCCAGGCCGAGCCGCCAGTGACGGCCCAGGCGTGGGTGCGGCCAGGCGGTTGTGCCATTAATGATGTATTTTGAGGTAAGGACTTTTTTCTATTGATATTAAAACACATTGACCCATATTCAAAGAGGATAAGTGTAACTTTATTTCAAAGTAAAGTAATTTTTTTCAAGTAAATTCAAGTAATTTTTATATAGCGCCTTTCACAACAGTCATTACAACATTAAGACAATAATACAGAAAAGAAAGAAAGAAAGAGAAAGGAAAAAAAGAGAGAAATCATCATCAGCCATGCAGTGCTCTTATCATTGGCTGGTCTTACAGTCACGCCCACCTACATGTCACTCACGCCCACCTACATGTCACTCACGCCCACCTACATGTCACTCACGCCCACCTACATGTCACTCACACCAACTTGCATGTCAGTCACGCCAACTTGCATGTCACTCACGCCAACTTGCATGTCAGTCACGCCAACTTGCATGTCAGTCACGCCAACTTGCATGTCAGTCACGCCAACTTGCATGTCAGTCACGCCCACCTACAGTACATGTCACTCACGCCCACCTACATGTCACTCACGCCAACTTGCATGTCAGAAATGCCTACCTACATGTCAGTCACGCCTACCTACATGTCAGTCACGCCCACCTACAGTACATGTCACTCACGCCCACCTACATGTCACTCACGCCAACTTGCATGTCAGAAATGCCTACCTACATGTCAGTCACGCCTACCTACATGTCAGTCACGCCAACTTGCATGTCAGAAATGCCTACCTACATGTTAGTCACGCCCACCTACAGTACATGTCACTCACGCCCACCTACATGTCACTCACGCCAACTTGCATGTCAGAAATGCCTACCTACATGTCAGTCACGCCTACCTACATGTCAGTCACGCCAACTTGCATGTCAGAAATGCCTACCTACATGTTAGTCACGCCCACCTACAGTACATGTCACTCACGCCCACCTACATGTCACTCACGCCAACTTGCATGTCAGAAATGCCTACCTACATGTCAGTCACGCCTACCTACATGTCAGTCAAAGAGTTCATCTGCTTCCACTAACACCATTCAAACAAGAGGGTGAAGGAGACAGCTGCTTTTTGAAAAATATAATATTATTATTTTTAATTTTATTCCAATCAAAATCACATCTGAGCTAGGCCCTTGTCACGATGGAAAAAAAGGCAGCTGGGATATTATGGGCTTGTAACTGAAAGCATTTCTGCAAGAGCGCCAGCAGAAGACATACTGCTGAACAATAATAGGGATGCCATCCTAATTGGGGAGACTGAACTATACACATCTGTCTGTGGTCTGCAGCTAGGCCAAGCGCAGCCTGTAGGCAGAGCAGTGACTGCCGAACGTAACGGATTTTTGGCTCTGTGTCGCTCTCGCGTTTGGTTTCTGTCGTGGTCTGACTGCCACAGTGCGCGGGTCAGCAGTGCATGACGGCAGGCAGCTGATAACAGGCCCGCCGAGGGCCAGGAAGCAGGCCCGCCAAAGGACAGGAAGCAGGCCCGCCTTTGGTACGGTGAATTTTATTCGGACTGCATGTACTGTCATGACAGGCCTGTGGTTTCGGAAAAGGGGAGGTGGTTGTCTACACCTTCCCTTGTGCAGAGAAACATGCTGCGGTTAAGCCTGCATCCTGTCAGCGTTTTGAAAGAAAGAGAGAGACAGAATGTGCTAAAAGATAAGCTAAAATTTCCTTAACTGCTTGGGAGGCAGATTTCTCCGAAGGTACAACTTCACCCAGTTTCACAGCTGGACTGTGCACAACAGCGACTCCCTTCCTTAGATCTGAACTCATAGTGGTGGTAGATTTTTTTCAGTAAAAGTGAATTTTGAGACACTGGCATGTTTTAGTGGGCTCAGTGCTTTTAGTGAGGGATGAGTGTGCTTTCCCTGGATCCTGTCTTCATTTTATACAAACCATCTTCGCAAACTTGTGGGGGAAGCACTGAGGTCTGTAGTTTCCTGTCACGGTCAACTGCACCGCCCAGAGAGGTAGAGGAAGCAGGAAGAGGAAGCATCCTCGCACCCCGGCTCCTGCTGTGCTTCAGTCCCACTTCTAGGGCTTTTAGCAGAACCTGAAGATCCGCGTTCACTCAGCAATGCAACTATGAAGTGGGCCTCAGGATCGGCAGGTGACGGCCTTCCCCAGGCGGACTTATCTAAGGGCAACTCCTGCTCGGCACGCTAATCTGGCACATCACCTCACGGGTGGAGCCTCTGGCCAGAGGCGGGTAGATCAGGTCCAGAGAGAAAAAGTCCAGACCAAGATTTTGTTTCAACCAATCAGTTGAGCATAAAGAGTCAGAGTCACAGAGTACTCAACTGGTTGGTTGAAACAAAATCTTGGTCTGGACTTTTTCTCTCTGGACCGGCACTTTCCACCTTTACCGCTGACCATCAGGATTCTGTGTGCAGTTTTCTCTGGGCGCGCTGTGGCGGGGGGGCCGTCAGGGTGGGCGTTGCCTGGGCTTAGTTTGCAGTATCTAAAGGAGGCTACTGGCAGGGCTGATATGAGGACGAGGGGAGGAGCCCGCGGGCCTCATCTTCGGTTGAACTCCTTCACGCTTCCACTGAGTTCTCTGCCCCCCTCCCCCAACAGACACGCTGCAATGAGGACCTGACGAGAAGTCGGATCGAGACCCTAGAGGCGCAGTTGGAGTTGTGCACGCAGGTATGTGTGTGAAAAGACAAGCGCCTCTGCAGCTTCATTTGTAGCTTTGCTGGGCATGATATGTACTGCTGAAGTATTGAAAGCATTTGCTAAGTATGAAAGGTTTCTGTAGCACCAAGATGGTACAGCGGGTTACTGCTCACGCTTAGCCCTGTCACTATGCACATTGAATTATTAGCAAAACATGATATATTGTGACACATCTATCAAAAAAGACATGATGTTCTTTGAACATAATTAACAGGTGAAATTTCCTATGCATTGCATTGTTTATTATAAAGAGTGAAATGTCAGAAAGGAGGGTACATCTGACATGCAAACAGACCTAGCCTGTTCGGTTTGGCCCCCGTTTGGGCAGTGCTAGCAGAACACCCACCCTAAAGACTCTGCCTGCTCACATCTGACGGGGGGGGGGCACCTTTCAGGAATTCAGGTGGGATGGAGTGAAAAAGCTGATGCTGCAAATGGAAGAGCAGAAGCGGACATATGAGGAGAAGGCGCTGGAGGCCCTGCAGAAGGCCATCGACGAGAAGGTGCAGGCGGAGAAGCAGGCAGAGAGCCTGGAGGTAGGCGGGAACGCCAACGAAGCAGCCACTGCAGAGAGCAGTCCTCCATGGGAGTGTGTCACTGCAGAGAGCAGTCCTCCATGGGAGTGTGTCACTGCAGAGAGCAGTCCTCCATGGGAGTGTGTCACTGCAGAGAGCAATCCTCCATGGGAGTGTGTCACTGCAGAGAGCAGCGTGTCACTGCAGAGAGCAGTCCCCCGTGGGAGCGCGTCACTGCAGAGAGCAGTCCCCCGTGGGAGCGCGTCACTGCAGAGAGCAGTCCCCCGTGGGAGCGCGTCACTGCAGAGAGCAGTCCCTCCAATAATCAATGATGCTATATTATTAAGATTTTTTATTGAATATAGTTTGTTTTTCAAATAGCCTCTTTTAGCCATACCTTAAAAATAACAATATTTGATTGTTTCCAAGGTTATATTTATTTTTAAAAGGCTGCACAACTATACACAATAACACAGAGAAACATTTTCTCCTGAATCTTTTGCTCTGTTGCTCCAGAACATTTTGAACCTCCCTAATTCATGACTTATTTCTCATGTTAAAGTCCACAATAAACTGAATTAAAATTATATTTTTAAACCAGGTATACAAATACAGGCTTTAATCTAGTAGGCACTGCTAGGGTGGTTAACTCTTTTAGCCTGGAGGATATATGCATAATGAAGTTAAAATACAAAATCTTTTACTGGGCTTGAACTTAGGAAAAGATTCATTCATCCATTGAATGTTCTTTCATGCAGGAAATAAAGGCTAGTTTTGTCTGACAATGAATTTCTTCTGGCTCTGTCCACAAGGAGGCGCTGAAGGCTGCCCTGCTGGAATCAGAACGGTGGAAGAGCTTGTCCCAGCAGCTGAAGAAGAGCTCTGAAGAGCTAATGAGAAGCCAGGAGCAGACAACTGACAGGCTGCACCAGCTACAGAGTGAACTGGAGGTAAACAGAGGGTAGATGGCATTAGGCAGCAGTCAGCTGCCTAATGCCACAGGGCACCAGACAGGAGGCAGCTGGGGCTCGAACAGGGCACCAGACAGGAGGCAGCTGGGGCTCGAACAGGGCACCAGACAGGAGGGAGCTGGGGCTCGAACAGGGCACCAGACAGGAGGCAGCTGGAGCTCGAACAGGGCACCAGACAGGAGGCAGCTGGGGCTCGAACAGGGCACCAGACAGGAGGCAGCTGGGGCTCGAACAGGGCACCAGACAGGAGGCAGCTGGAGCTCAAACAGGGTACCAGGTA